GGATTTTTTAATAATATTTTTACAAGGACCTTCATATCAACAAGCGTGGATTTTTAAAGAATATTTTTACAAGGACCTTCATATCAACAAGCGTGGATTTTTAAAGAATATTTTTACAAGGATGAATAGCCTAATAAGCGTAGATTTTTAAAGAATATTTTTCCATGGATGAATAGCCTAATAAGCGTAGATTTTTAAAGAATATTTTTCCATGGATGAATAGCCTAATAAGCGTGAAAGTTTAAAAAAGTTTTTTTACAAGTATGCAAATATTTCCCAAGCACCTCCCTATCAATAAGCGTGGATTTTTAAAGGAAATTTTTCCCAAGGATCTTCCTATCAATAAGAGTGAATATTTAAACGATAATTTTACCAATGACCTTTCTATCAATAAGCGTGGATTTTTAAAGAAAAAAAATTCAGGACCTCCCTATCAATAAGCGTGGATTTTTAAAGAAAGAATTTCTCAGGACCTCCTTATCAATAAGCGTGGATTTTTAAAGGACAAATATCTCAAGGACCTTGATAGTAATACGCGTGGATTTTTAAAGGACAAATATTTCAAGGACCTTGATAGTAATACGCGTGGATTTTTAAAGGACAAATATCTCAAGGACCTTGATAGTAATACGCGTGGATTTTTATAGAATATATTTCCAAGGACCAAGAGCCTAATAAGCGTGGATTTTGAAAGCATTATTTTTCAATGACCTTCATATCAATAAGTGTAGATTTTTAAAGAATAATTTCCAAGGACCTTCATATCAAAAAGCGTGGATTTTTAAGGAATATTTTTCCAAGGACCTCCCTATCAATAAGCGTGGATTTTTAAAGAAAATTTTTCTCAGGACCTCCCTATCAATAAGCGTGGATTTTTAAAGGACAAATATCCCAAGGACCTTGATAGTAATACGCGTGGATTTTTAAAGAACAAATATCCTAAGAATCTTGATAGTAATACGCGTGGATTTTTAAAGAACAAATATCCTAAGAATCTTGATAGTAATACGCGTGGATTTTTATAGAATATATTTCCAAGGACCAATAGTCTAATAAGCGTGGATTTTTAAAGCATTATTTTCCAAGGACTTTCATATCAATGAGTGTAGATTTTTAAAGAATATTTTTCCAAGGACCAATAGCTTAATAAGCGTGGATTTTTAAATAATATGGGTGCATTTCTAATGTATATTTTTCCAAGGACCAATAGCCAAATAAGCGTGAATATTTAAATAATATTTTTACAAGGGCCTTCATATCAAAAAGCGTGTCCTTAAAAACACCTGGTACCTACAGTTAAATTTTGTGGCATTCGCCTCTTTCTCCTTCACAAACATAACAACTGATGATAGTGGCAAGGAACCTTGCCAGTGTTTTAATTACTTTATCGCTTGTATACTAAATAGCTTACTAAAATTGAAAAAGAGAATAAAAAACGGAGCCCGGTAAACAGATGATGCTAGTTAGCCTAAAATATTACCCATAGCATAATAGTTGACTATCTGCATAATATACAGCCTAATAGATATACACCATTTTAACAAATGAGTTGCAAAACCAAAGGAAATCACACACAGACACATAAATGGAACTAAACCATTTGCCACTAAAATAAATTAGAGGAGACCGCTAGGTAGCTACAGGTTTCAGTGGCATTGCAGATTTTGTTACATACCGGCCCTGCCACCCTGAACGATGTTGTCTTAATTTATCAAATGCTGAGACAATGTGGCGCCACCACAAAGGTGTGTTGGTGTATAGTGGTGTATGGAGGAATACAAAGGATTACAATTTCCAAAGAATTATGAAAATTAGTTGGGGGTAATATTGTTGCTGTAACCTCAAGTAATGTTAATAACAGTAAAACATTGGAGATACTCTACATAACCAAATATTTAAAAGAAGACATTGTCCTGGAAAATATTCATTAAAAATCCTCTCCTTTTTGGTCTACAGGTCCTTTTATTTTATTATTATTATTTTTATAATTTTATTTAAAAATCCACGCTTATTGATATGAAGGTCCTTGGAAAAATTTTATTTAAAAATCCACGCTTATTGATATGAAGGTCCTTGGAAAAATTTTATTTAAAAATCCACGCTTATTGATATGAAGGTCCTTGGAAAAATTTTATTTAAAAATCCACGCTTATTGATATGAAGGTCCTTGGAAAAATTTTATTTAAAAATCCACGCTTATTGATATGAAGGTCCTTGGAAAAATTTTATTTAAAAATCCACGCTTATTGATATGAAGGTCCTTGGAAAAATTTTATTTAAAAATCCACGCTTATTGATATGAAGGTCCTTGGAAAAATTTTATTTAAAAATCCACGCTTATTGATATGAAGGTCCTTGGAAAAATTTTATTTAAAAATCCACGCTTATTGATATGAAGGTCCTTGGAAAAATTTTATTTAAAAATCCACGCTTATTGATATGAAGGTCCTTGGAAAAATTTTATTTAAAAATCCACGCTTATTGATATGAAGGTCCTTGGAAAAATTTTATTTAAAAATCCACGCTTATTGATATGAAGGTCCTTGGAAAAATTTTATTTAAAAATCCACGCTTATTGATATGAAGGTCCTTGGAAAAATTTTATTTAAAAATCCACGCTTATTGATATGAAGGTCCTTGGAAAAATTTTATTTAAAAATCCACGCTTATTGATATGAAGGTCCTTGGAAAAATTTTATTTAAAAATCCACGCTTATTGATATGAAGGTCCTTGGAAAAATTTTATTTAAAAATCCAATATGAAGGTTTGGAAAAATTTTATTTAAAAATCCACGCTTATTGATATGAAGGTCCTTGGAAAAATTTTATTTAAAAATCCACGCTTATTGATATGAAGGTCCTTGGAAAAATTTTATTTAAAAATCCACGCTTATTGATATGAAGGTCCTTGGAAAAATTTTATTTAAAAATCCACGCTTATTGATATGAAGGTCCTTGGAAAAATTTTATTTAAAAATCCACGCTTATTGATATGAAGGTCCTTGGAAAAATTTTATTTAAAAATCCACGCTTATTGATATGAAGGTCCTTGGAAAAATTTTATTTAAAAATCCACGCTTATTGATATGAAGGTCCTTGGAAAAATTTTATTTAAAAATCCACGCTTATTGATATGAAGGTCCTTGGAAAAATTTTATTTAAAAATCCACGCTTATTGATATGAAGGTCCTTGGAAAAATTTTATTTAAAAATCCACGCTTATTGATATGAAGGTCCTTGGAAAAATTTTATTTAAAAATCCACGCTTATTGATATGAAGGTCCTTGGAAAAATTTTATTTAAAAATCCACGCTTATTGATATGAAGGTCCTTGGAAAAATTTTATTTAAAAATCCACGCTTATTGATATGAAGGTCCTTGGAAAAAATATTCTTTAAAAATCCACGCTTGGAAAAAATATTCCTTGGAAAAAATATTCTTTAAAAATCCGCGCTTATTGATATGAAGGTCCTTGGAAAAATATTCTTTAAGGTCCTTGGAAAAAATATTTTTTTAAAATCTACGCTTATTGATATGAATGTCCTTGGAAAAATATTCTTTAAGGTCCTTGGAAAAAATATTTTTTAAATATCCACGCTTATTGATATGAAGGTCCTTGGAAATAATATTTTTTAAATATCCACGCTTATTGATATGAAGGTCCTTGGAAATAATATTCTTTAAAAATCCACGCTTATTGATATGAAGGTCCTTGGAAATAATATTCTTTAAAAATCCACGTCTGTGAGACTTAATGTTCCTTGGAAAAATATTCTCTAAAAATCCACGCTTATTGATATGAAGGTCCTTTGAAACATATTATTTAAAAATCCACGCTTTTTGGACAATGGTCCTTGGAAAAATATTCTTAAAAAACAGCAATCTTATCGGCCTACAGGTCTTTGGAAAAATAAAAAATCCACACCTTGTTTAGGTCCTTGAAAAATATTCTTTTTGTAGGTGTAGGTCCTTGTGTAGGTTCTTGAAAAATTATTCTTTCAACAAATCCACGCCTTGTGTTGGATGGTCCTTGGAAAATGAATTGGAGGGTACCATAAAACCTCGTTCCTGTATTCATATTTTTAATTACCCAAATACTGGCTGCTGTTGCTCGGTGTAATTGTTGCACAGCCAAATTACATTAAAATATTTATTATGCAAATTTTAATACAAAAATTAATCAAAAGGATTTGCTCGGTAACAGTAAAGCCTTTGGGCGTCTTCTCTTATTGTGTGTGGATGTGCGTGTAAAAGAAAGGACTCGCAAAACGGAACAATTACCACATAAAATATCCTGAGCCAGCTGAGTGTAAAACAATACAATTTTAATTAGAATTTTTCGTTGTTGTTGCAGAAAACAATCAACTCATTAAACATTAACACCTGTCTCTCAGTTATGATGGTGCACAATAACAAAAATATTATCCTAGAATTGTCTTAACACTTTTTTGTTCTTTGTAAACTCCTTGCGGGAAATGTTCATTTGTCAAAATTAGAAAAACAAACAGAAATAGAATGGCTTTGGAATTTTAAATTATTGTTGGAGAAAAATTCCATCCTGCTGAATCCATTTACCACGAAATTCTTTGAAACTGAAATCTTTTGTGAAAATCTTAAATCTGTTTTTCCAATGGAATTTTGCGCTAATGGTCAGACGCCTAATGTGTTGCAAAGCTATATTTTGTGGTTGGCACAAAAAAATGTGAGTAACAGCTTTGTTATCCTTTCAGACAAAAAGGAAAGACGGTGGCCGTCAAAAGTTTTGTTGCCCACCGGTTTTCATTAATCATTCAAATGATTAATCATTTGAGACGACTTGGAAAAAATGAAAATTGTTTTTTTGGTTTTCAAAATTAAAATTTAATATTGAAAGGCTCGATTAAGTTTAGGCAATGTTGTAATAAATTTAAAATATTCACATTTTTTATTTATTATAATTTTGATATTTTAATTAAGAACATAAAATTAAAGATTAAAAAATTGTTGTTTTATTTTTCTAGCACGCAATCCAAGTGATGATGCTGAAGTGATTGGCTATCCCCGCCGTGTCTCAACTAAGGCCGACGATGATGATGGTGACTTTAAGGATTTTAAGGGTGTCATTGATACCGCTTCGGGTTATCCTTTCCTGCAACCAAATCCCTCTATTTTGAATTTCGGATTCTTTGATTCATTTGATGGTAAGTTATTTCAATTATATTTTATGTAAAAAACTTTTTGCAGAAATATTTTTTGTGAAAGTATCCAATAACCTTTGTATATAGACTATGCTTAATTTGTTTTGATAATGTCCTGTGAAAAATGCAAACTGCCGATTTACAGTCACGTTGTAAATTTTAAAATCTAGTCACTTTGGATGGTAAAATGGCATATAACCATCAAAACAGCCGATGTAATGAACAACGAGCGGTATCGGTAAACTAGACAGATGCCATAAAGATTACATAATCGTTTCGAAAAATTTGATATGAATTCTAAATATAATATTTGGAACAATTCGAAATACCTCATGGCAACGAATGAGATTTAGCTCCTTGACCGAACTCCGACTATTTTTTCAAGGAAATACCGAATATAGGTTTATTTTCATATTAGGGTTTAAGGGGACCCCCCCATTCTCGGTGTCAAAAATTTTTTTATTTAATTCGTATCTACTCTAATTCTAGAATGTTCCTACAAAATTTCAAGTGAAAATCTCAAGAACTCTTGAAGATATAGCCGATTTATTATGTCAGCATCAAGTGACGGCTAAAGGGCTTTTCAAACTTTAAACGCGTTTTTCTCACAACGAATGGCGGGCACGATAACTCAAAAACTAATAATCCAATCGGTTTCAAATTTTGACACGTTTCTCAGGGAGTGTGTAGCTCTCGTATGAACTAGGATAAAGTCAATCGGTGAAGATCTTCCTTATTTTTTAACTTAGTTTGTGGTAAAAAATAGGCGATTTCCCAAAAAAAAAATCAAAGTTCCGCCATTTTGTTAATTGTTGTGCGAAGTCAATAATCCTAGTTCATACGAGAGCCAGACATGTCCTCTTTCTAACACAGTTGGAATTTTCGGATTCCGATGTTCCAGCGTGGAGTTATCATGCCCGCCATCGAAAATATGGACTTTTCTTTAAACCCAAAAAACAACAACAAAACAACAACAACAAATTTTGGTAAATTATTTTTCTTCCTTTTTAAATCTTCAAATATATATGTGCCAAGTTACAAACCTTTACAAGCATTGGTATTCATTTACCAGCCCATTTAAAATCTTAAAAATAAAAAATCGAGAATGGGGGGGGTTCCCTTAAGTTCGGAAGTTAGTGTGATAACAGCATACTGTCGTAGATGTATAAGCAGTATTATTATTTTGTCCGTATTATTTAGAGGAGTTGCAAATAAAATACTGTGATAGAGGATATAAAAACCAACAAGTCGAACCATTTTTGGCTTATTTCTAAATCGAATCCAAAAAATCGTTATTAGGGTTGCATTTCCTAAAAAAAATCTTAAAAAAGGACAGATGGATATTATGCCATTATAAATTGTCTCCTAGTAGGTTGTTTGTTTGTGCAAATCATATTCGAGGTTTTTGTTCGGAAGCCATGTAAAATCCTGAATCTGCAGTGAACATTTTCAGGGAAGACTTTTTTCATTCTGATTGCCAAATTAGAGCCATTTCGGGACAAAAACATTAAAATTATAGCTTTGTGTGGCCCCAAAAGTCAGCAACGCCGCGAAATATTGGTCCTAGCCCCTGTTAGTATACCGATGGTCATATCTCGACTAGCGGAGTCGATCTTATCATGTGTGTCCGTCCATTCTAATTTGTAAACGCTATAGAGGCCACTGTTATGTTATGGACTAATCTTCACAAAATTTTGCATGTACGATCGCTTCTGGCCAAATAAGACCTATCTTGTTTTTGGTAATGATCCGTTAATATTTAGGGGATGTAAGGAACAAAAAAATATTTTATCTGTTTTCTGAACGCTCTAGAGGCCACAATTATGACCCAAACATTACGAACATGTAAAATTTTACATGGGGAAAGGTATTTGACCAATGACCAGTCATGGCTCTTTTCATTACAATCGGCCCATATTTAGCGTGAAAAATTGAAAAAAATACATTCTATGGCATATATATTTCCTACTGAAGAATATAGGCCGGAGAAATTGACAGTATATCCAATAGGAGTGGCTGACCTTTAAATTGATGTCAATTATACGGCTGTATGTATTTATATAGGGGAGTAAAACGTAAATATTTACAGGGAACGACCTAAACATTATTGTTGTCACAATCATAAACCGAACATCATAAGTTTAATACAGGGCTGTTTTAATAATGGTCGATCAATATTTAGCGGGTCAAATGAACCCAAACTTGTGGGGTTCACGCCGACGAAATAGAAGAGCTGCTGACCTCTGATCGGTTAACAGGTTGCAAATATGATAAAATATTGCCCTGGCTCGGAATATAAATCCGGATAAAGTTAAAGTTCAGAGTTAGTTGTGTGGGTTATCATATGGTCGGTCCGTCCGACTATACCGCTCCGCTCACTGTATTGTTTTTTTTTTTTTTGTCATATCACCTCCGCCTCACGGCTACATACCTTGTTACGACTAAAGAGTGGGTTTTGACCACAATTATCATTGAACAAAATTTTTTACAAACAATTTTAAAGCGATTTAGAAATGTCTACCCTTTGGTCTGTTTACTTGTCTGGTGTTCACGATAACTACTATGAAAGTAAAGGATTTGATCCAATTTTTGCAGAATATAAATTGAAAATGGGGGATGTCGATCTACTCTTTCTGGAATTTTGAATATCATAAGAGTTCGTTTATCGGTCTATTTCTATTTATCGGTCCACTCCTTCTGGTGCCTTATTCACATGAGGCCAAAATTTTGAACATTTCTAAATATCGTATGAATGAGTATGGTATTTGATCCACGCTTTGACATCGTAATATTTTTACTTCTTCTTATGCCTCTCCCACAAAGAGTCAAGTTTGTGATTTCGTATGAAGATCAAAGAGTATCCGACTTAGTCCATCAATTGCCCGTTTTATTGTTTTACCAAACCAACATTAAATCTGGTACCTTCCCAATATCTATGTGGTCCTTTTTTCTAATACATTCCCCAAAAAATATTACAATTTAAGTATAGAGGAGTATGCTTAACCCGCCAACAAATGGACTCCTACCTCCTACCTGCAAAATGGATGGTATATATCTGTCGACAACATTGATTGATACATTCTCAACTTCCACCATAAGGTGGGGAGTATATTGCAAATTTAATTCAGTTTGTATTTTTGATCATAACAAATCTCTAAATTAAATCAGTAAGGAACATCGTAAAGTCGGACTGGGCCGACTATATGATACCCTTCACCACATTGGGTATAGCCTACAGTTGTATCCTAACACTTTCATGTCAATGTTCCCTCGAAGGAACATTGATTGAACGAACTTAAATATGTGATCTTTATCTATAAGTGAACCGATCAACATCGATCCATGCAGATGCGTTTCTGCAACCTATAATAAATTGTATTCGGGCAGATTTAGAGTCGTTTGAATACAATGGGACTAATCTATTAAAGGGACGCTACACCCCCGCTACACCAATCTTGACCGATTATATTTATCCCAGTTCATTCGATAGCTATACACTCACAGAGAAACAGTTTGGAATCGATCGGATTGTCAGCTTTTGAGTTATCGAGCACAAAAACGCTGTTTGGAGAAAATGCGTTTAAAGTTTGATGCTGGCACAATAAATCGGCTATATCTACAAGTGTTATTGAGATTTTCACTTGAAATTTTATAGGGACATTCGTATAAATCGAACGATATAAAGGGTGATTTTTTTGAGGTTAGGATTTTCATGGATTAGTATTTGACAGATCACGTGGGATTTCAGACATGGTGTCAAAGAGAAAGATGCTCAGTATGCTTTGACATTTCATCATGAATAGACTTACTAACGAGCAACGCTTGCAAATCATTGAATTTTATTACCAAAATCAGTGTTCGGTTCGAAATGTGTTTCGCGCTTTACGTCCGATTTATGGTCTACATAATCGACCAAGTGAGCAAACAATTAATGCGATTGTGACCAAGTTTCGCACTCAGTTTACGTTATTGGACATTAAACCAACCACACGAATGCGTACAGTGCGTACAGAAGAGAATATTGCGACTGTTTCTGAGAGTGTTGATGAAGACCGTGAAATGTCGATTCGTCGCCGTTCGCAGCAATTGGGTTTGTGTTATTCGACCACATGGAAGATTTTACGCAAAGATCTTGGTGTAAAACCGTATAAAATACAGCTCGTGCAAGAACTGAAGCCGAACGATCTGCGCTACATGCCACACAGCTCGCGATTCTATGGCCATTTTGAGGGAAAACTTCGGAGAACAATTCATCTCAAGAAATGGACCGGTAAATTGGCCACCAAGATCTTGCGATTTGCCGCCTTTAGACTATTTTTTGTGGGGCTACGTCAAGTCTAAAGTCTACAGAAATAAGCCAGCAACTATTCCAGCTTTGGAAGACAACATTTCCGAAGAAATTCGGGCTATTCCGGCCGAAATGCTCGAAAAAGTTGCCCAAAATTGGACTTTCCGAATGGACCACCTAAGACGCAGCCGCGGTCAACATTCAAATGAAATTATCTTCAAAAAGTAAATGTCATGGACCAATCTAACGTTTCAAATAAAGAACCGATGAGGTTTTGCAAATTTTATGCGTTTTTTTTAAGTTATCAAGCTCTTAACAAATCACTCTTTATAAAGGCTTTGGTGCTCCATTAACATAAAATCGGCGGAAATATATATGGGAGCTATATCTAAACCTGAACCGATTTTCGCGAACCTTAGTACACATCATTCTACCTTAATTCAGTACGCTATCCCATAATTCGTGCAAATCTTAAGATATAAGATATAAAATCGGACGATGATATATATTTGAGCATATCTTAAGACATAATATCCTGTACCACAGTGTGGTGAAGGGTATAAAAAATAGTATAAAAATAGTTTTGGTACCGTCTCAAAAGTTAACGTTATTGTCCTATTTTCGATATAATGAAATGACTGCAATTTAATATTTGGGTTTCCAGGAGGGTTAATAACTTCGATTTTCCAATATAATTTTTGTCGCATTATTTCGC